AGTGTCAGACGTGTCAGTATAAGAACGCATAATATGTCTCAGTATACACGAATGGTAGATGGCGTGCAGTCATGGGCGGTCCGAATAAGATATTATTACGAATACTATTTTTTATRAGCATTTGGGTATTCATTCCAAATACCTACTGTTTAAAAGTATTTCACCTACGACCTACGTCTGTTGCGGACATGTGATGCCAAAATATAAATATACGATTTAACATAATACAACGGTTATTGTTAGTTAAGCTACTCTGCAGTGTCTTTGGGTCCTTACTTTTACTATACTTACGTACTTTTTAACGTAACACTCAATGATGATTTTTATCAATACTATGTATAGATATTTTAATTTTACAGGATTTGGTCATTGATTAAACAAGCGGTTCATCACAACTCTGACATGTCGTCGTCATTGCCTTACGCACAATTCGAAAATGAAAACTATTCAGATGACCAATTGGACATCCCTAAGTCTCCGGTAAGATTCAATAATATTCAAATTATTTCCAATTGAACCACAGTTAATTTTAATGATAATTGTAAACTGATAAGTGATAATTAGGTATCATCTAGTTGCAATTAAAATTWAAAAAAAAAAATGCAGTTACYAATTGTATGTTATCTTCCATGAATTGTTTTTTCGAAAACAATGTTATCAACATGATAATATTTACTATCATAATAATAATATTTATTATTTAATAACAACAACWACACTGTATTCTTGAAGTTAAACAATTTTTGCACATTATTGGTTTTCGTACCTACTACAAACTTTGATATAGCTGAAAGCACTTGAAATACTGTACTCTACTGCCCCTGATGATGTACCATAAGTAAGTACTATTGAATTAATCATGTGAATTCGATGGTTTCAGAGAGACATTAAAGTTTATCATATTGATGGTACATATGAAACAGTTTCAGTTACCCTGAGTACAACAGCCGAAGAAGTATGCTCTCAGATAGGCAAAGACTTTTTCAGCGAATGTTTTGGTTGGTCAATAGTGGAACTCTGGAAGGACGAAGGGATAGGTAATTGTGTAATTTTAGTTGTGTCGTTTAACTTTTGTCTATTACTGTTGGGTGTACTTAATAATATGCTGTTCATTTTTGTTAAGAGAGAACATTAGAAAATCACGAATCAGTGTTAACRTGTTTCCATAAAATGAAGAATGGAAAGAACAGAATTTTGGTGCTCCAACTAAACAACAAAATGTTTCACATGTTCAAGCATCCAGAAGTAAATTTTATTCCAAGTATAGTGTGGGCCATAATAATTTTTTTTACCAGCCAAGTGTCTTAAGGCCCATCTCATATATGTGTATTTTCAATGATTTTAACGATTAAWATTTTTTTTATAGAAATTCTCTCTCTACAAAACTCTGGATATTGCTAAAAAAAAAGAAGCCAAACTTATAGAGGTAATTTAATATTGTTTATATTGAATTAAAACTAAATATAAGATATAAAAATATTATTTTTTCTGTTAATAACATCTAAATTTATATAAAATCGAGATAGAAAAATAAATAATTACTTCCATAAGTATCAATTTATTAAAAAAAATTCAAAGGACAAAAGCATATTAGGTAAATACATAGTTTGGTAGTAAGGTTGCTAACTTTTAATATGAAAAATACCCATCCAAAGTAAAAAAGATAATATTCCATGAATTTTTATTCAATATTACGTTGCAGTAAATGTACATAAAATTACATGTATAGTATGTCATAACTCATGATATAATATATATACAAGTTTGAATTCATTAAGATTATACTATTCATTTCAGTAATATCTGCTAACCAATT